AAAGGAGAAAGCAGAGAGCAATTCCAAATGCCCTGATTTTACGCAGGGAAGACTCAAGTAGGTGAAAGGCCAGCCACAAGAGACATGAATTGCTAATGATGACCCACATTTATTGAGTACTACGTTTACTCAAGACATTGTGTACAGTATGTTTCATGGGTCAGCTCAGGGAAACCTCACAGCCCCTCTCTGGGAGAGTCATTATCATTATACCCATTTTACAAATGAAGAAAGTCAGATTCAGAGTGAATTAATATAACCAAGGTCACTTGCCTGCCTACATCTGTCTGCCATAAGAAGCCAAATACTTTTACTGCAAAGATATCTGTGCAAGTATTTAAAACTTTTTAAATTAAAACATCATTTAAAAGTAAATAAATTAAAAGTTTGAAGTTACTTAATTTTACTTGCTGAAATTCTTGATACAGACAATATTCTAAAATTGATTCTATAACTAGAAATTAAGTTAAGCAGGTTAAAAATGACTACTTGTAATAGACCTATATTACTATATAATGATTAAGCCTTAAAATCATAGAACTTCTTGAGTCCTTGTTTCAAAAATTTTACTTGCTATATTTGGCTGTGTGTGTGTTGTAAAAAATCCTGAAATGCTGGTAACTATTTCACCATAGTTTATATCTATTTTAACAATGAACATTCCCAAAGTGAACATTCTGAGTTTGGGAAACCTTAAACTTCAAGGCTAATGACACCCGCGTACCTTTGACTACCTGTGTTTATAGACATCTGCACAGGGATGTGGTTAACCATGGGTGCTCATCTGTAAAGGAGATTGGGGAAAGGAAATGTAAAACGCCCTATTTAGCTCCCTCGCTCAGACAACCGCAGAGTTGGATTTAATTTTTGTCATGTCCCTGTGATAGCCACAGTACCTTGACTTCCTTCGACACTTAGCTCTTGTGGTGGTTCCAGAACATCTTCGGGATGTGGGAAACAGAGTCCATGGAAAGGCCCCAAGTCAAAGCAGGCATGTAACAGTTCCATGTTCACGCTTGAGCACACGCTCATGAACCCGACTGCTGCGCCTTTCACCTGAAACGTCCAGAAGGCCGCATTAGTCTATCAGACTGCAAACGGCTCTCACCGTGAAACCTGCTCGAGCCCTCAGCATGTGGTCAGTTGGTGGTTTGGCAGGCACTTGGAGATCTTTAAAGGAGGAAGAAGTATCTTTCCTACATAGTTCTATTATCTAACACAATGCACAAACAAAATCCTCAAAAAAAAGTCCGATGAGTGACCACTGTGGAGAATCCTAGAGGTATGTAACTAATTTGGAGATCTGCCAGAGAGTCCTTGAGGGAAACTACTGGAACTTAACACTTGCCCCCTGTGCACAGAAATGCCCCAGCCTGCCCCATGTCCTCTGCCAGCTACTATCTTTTTTTTAGCCCACAGCATGCCTGGCCCTTCTGTCCGCCCTTCCCCCTCCCTCCATGCACAGTTCCAGAGTCAGGCCAGGCTGGCTCACCAGGAGGACATCATCCTCAAACACATCATCTCCTGCTACCCTAACAGGTGCTTGGTTGTGATGCTTATGCAAGGGTCTCTGTGATTTTAGGATTTTGATGAGGAATATATAGGTGGCAATATGAGTAACTATCTGATCTGGACCTATTATTGATACTATAATATTATAAATTAACAACAGATTTCAATTCATATTCCACATTGAGAGATGACTGTGATTGTAGTTCATTACTATGTCCCTTTAATAATTCTGTGTTTTATTCTTTTCTATAAAGTATTTAAAATTTAAAAAGAGAGGGAGAATATATAGTTCTTTTTATTGCACATAAACAATTTCTGTTGATTATTAAGTAGATTTTAAGCAAATTCTGACAGCTGTGATTGGAAACCAGCATTTGCTGGATCCCTCAAGTGTCCAGACTCCATTTCTGAGACAACCATTCCATTCAGAAAGTGGAAGAGCTCAACAATCACAGGCATTACCCGTTCCCGAGAATGCAGCATCTTTCCATAAATGCCCAGGTGGAGAAAATGGTCAATGCTTTAACCTCCTAAAATAGAAAATCCACTGTAATAAAGCTCAGTCTTTTAAATGGCACAGCAAAATTAGGTATTAAACCATTTGTTCTTATAAATATGTCTGCAGTTAAAAATCATTTGTTCTTAAACATGCATCTGTAAAATAAATGTGAGACTCCCTTTATTTTCCCCTTAATACTGAAATACAAGGGAAATTTTAAAAAATTAATTTTCCATGCATATTCCTTTTTTATACAGGCCCCCCAAAATGATACTTGCTGTTAAAGTCTGGATTTACACAGCTGTTTTATAAAGCCATTGGCACTTTAATAAAAGTCCAAAATAAACATTTTAATTTTTTTCCCAAATAACAAGTGATTGTTTGTCTTGTTTGCGCTCGTGAACAAAGGCTGCCTAGCCGTGCTTGTCTGGCTTCTCTATAATTTTAGGCCCAAGACTCAGCAGACGCTGATTAACCAATCCATCTACCATATGTGCAGAAAGAGACGGCCAGCCTCACTCTCTGCAGGGAAAATTGGCATCCATCTTGGTTCACATGGAGATGTCCTTCTAATCTACAGCCACGCTGGCTCAATGAGAGTTCGATGGCCTCAAATACCTTTTGCTGGCTTCATGGCGAGCTGCATGTGCATGATAAGAATGTATTATTTATAAGACCGCTGTTAGTAATGAGCTATTACACTAATGGCTCATTGTGTTTGGAATTTGATTTCAAATGGCATGGATCACACATTCTGACGAAAATGAGAAAAACATGTTTTGCCATTAGAAACAAAGATTTAACGTCCTCCAATTCTACAACCTGTTATATCCCCATCATTCATCCAGGGTTGCAGCAATTTACAAAAGTTCACAATTATACACTGAAACAGAGCAAGGACATATGTGGAAGTGTCTGCTTTCCCCTTTGAGATACACTGTTCTTAAAGATGACTTTGCAGAAGTATCCAAATGCACACACAAATCTTTGTGCATTTATTTTCTGAAAAAAAAAATGGATTTAAGGGACTGTTTTACTTGTATAATAAACAGGCATTGACTTCAGGCTGGCATCTATCTCCCAGGGGACAGAGTACCTTCTATTACAAAGTGTCTTCAATACTTCATCCCAGAGAACAAAACTGACAGTTTTCTCGTCGTTCTTGCTTCTCTGTGAAGACCTGCACGATGATGCCTGAGGTTTAGATCACTGGAAAACCACAGGCATAGGGGCCCTATCTTCCTAAACAGGTCCACTTATACTCACATGTATACTTGTTTATGCTGCTATCCAGAAAGCCCTACAGCCACTCACTTCTGGGGGACAGTGTTCCACAGTGAGGGCTGTGCCCTTGTGACCATGGCCGCTTTGTTCCTCTCCTCCTGATGCCACGTGCATGGCTGGCCTGGCAGGCTCTCCCTGCCTGTGGGTCAGTGGGCCCTACTCAGACCACTGCTGCCCATGCCCTGGCTCCTGCCAAAGCAGATGCTCTGCCCATCTGTCTTTAGAAGGCGCCCTTGGCCTCCAACCTCCTGTCCCTGAAATCACAGCTTGGAGCAAACACCAGATGTCGAGGTAAGCCAGGATACAGTTGTGATGAGGAACCTGCAGCCAAGTGGCAACTCAAAACTCCTCCAAAGTAGCTATCAAGCCCCCCAAAGTCCTCAGACCTAAGAAGGCTTGGACTAGTTGGGGTTTCCTAGGGGCACAGGCACAGCTTCCAGGCATTCTGCATGAGTGGCCTGTAACTGCGGGGTTTGGGAACAGACAGACATGACGCATGAGGGCTGTCCACAAAGTCCAGCTGTGGATCATGTAAGACACACATGCTGCTGGATACTTCCTTGATAGGCCTTATATTCTGTTCCGTTATCTCTGGTCAGTGATGGCTGCCTCACAGTACGGTATGCCAGTAATTGCCTGATTAGTATTCAGGGAAAATCTGCCTGGATCTGTAGCACTGACTGATGTCAATGGTGTAAATACTCTCCTGGTGGCCAACTTCAAGTTGCAGTAGCATGTCATTACACATTATATCCACTGTCCAGAGAATGCAGACATGAAACCTCCACAGCATAGGTAACAGTAAAGTTACTGTTACAGAGGGACAAGACAGCGGACCGGAAGCAGCCTGTGTGTGCCACTTTTGAGGAAAGGATCAAGGGTTGCAAGTGGATGCCCACCTAGGGATGGGCCTTCTTGGATAGAGCATTGTGAATCATTGGAGAAGAAGGGGGCATTCTGAGCAAAGGAGAAGGTTGTGGGTAATCCACTTGGCAAGATCAGAAGGTCAATGGGGGAGGCATCCACACATGGGGAAAGATAGGAGGAGAGATACTGGAGACACTGCGACCCAAACTGTAATGGGTCCCCCACTTCTGGGACCCTCCATGCTGATTAGGGAGCTGCTGGGAGTCTGTGCAGGACACTGTGCCAGACAACAGGCACTGCAGGGACCTGGCGGCTTCCGTTCCTGGGTTGCAGCACCTGATTCCACTCTGAACTCTCAGGTCCAGAGGACCTGGTTACACAGGGACCTGCTTTCCTGCAGCTGCCTCTGCATTGCCCCAGCCAGGCTGAGGAGGGAGCAGGAAGAGAGGACATCCTCTTGCACCTGTGACTAGGAGCTGAGCACTCCTCCCTCCCACAGGGGATTTGAGCAGCACAGGCACCAAAGACACCACCTGAGAAGCCCTGCAGCACCTGGCCCTGCACAGCGGAGAGCACCAGCTGCCTGGCCCCAGCCCATGCTCCCACCCAGCCCCAGGCTCTGCCCCAGTGGTTCCTTCTATGCTGCTCCCTAGCCCTGCAGCTCTGTCTCCAAGGCTCCACTGCTACCACCCCATCCCATGGATCTGCCCCGATAGTTTCTGTGCCACAGGATCACCTGGCCCTGTGGTCCCAACCCCAAGTCTCCAGTGCTGCTGCTGGGCCTAGTAGCCCTGCCCCTGAGCCTCCAGTGCACCTGCCAGGCAGTGCAGCTTCGCCCTTAAAGCTGTAGTACTGTTGTCAGAACCCAAGGCCCTGCCACTACTGCTCCCACTGGCTGCCTGGTGGCAAATTCCCCACAGTCCAGCACTCTGCCAGGTACTCACTGGCCTTGAGCTGCCATCACACCTGGGCTGAATTGGATCAAACACCTATAGCCCTGACACCCATGATCACTGCCTAGACAGCCTCACCAGCTGCCACCATCATTGCTGCAGGGAGAAATGAACAGAGAAATCTGCAATGCCAGGCTCCATGGAGGGGCCTCACTCAGTCCCAACTTGAGCTTCCAACAGTTGCCTCAGGAATGACCCACAACTCAGCACAAAAATCATCCAGCAGCAGTTTGGAATGTGACAATCGCAGGGGAATGGGGCAACACAGAACGGCTGCAGTATAGGCTTTCAGTATATCTGCTCTTCCCCTGCTAGGTCAATCTCCCGAGTAAGTCACAAAAATGCCATCTAACAACCTCTCCTTTGCATTAAGAGAACAGATATGCTGAAATCTGCCTGCCCTTAGCTGAGAGGTTTCAGATGAGAAGAAACCAATAAAAGAATTCTGGCAACACAAAGAAAACAAGCCAGTTAGACACCCCCAGCAATCATAATAGGTCTGCATAAGTGGACCCCAACCAAAAAGAAATTATTCATATGTCATAAATGGAATTCAGAATACAGATGGTAAAAAAAGATGAATAGGATTGAAGAGAAAGTTGAAAACAAACAAAGAAAAAAAACAATATTTCAGGACAGAAATGAAAAACTTGCTAAAGAGACAGACAATGTAAGAAGGGATAGAACAACTTAAAGAAACGAAAGAGTCACTTAGGGAATTTCAAAATATAGCAAAAAGCTTCAATAACAGGCTAGATGAAGCAGAAGAAAAAAATTCAGAGCTTGAATACAAGGCCCTCCAATCCAGTCAATCAAATGCAGAAAAGAGAAAAAAAAGAATGAACAATCACTCAGAAACATGGGACCATGTGAAGTGGACCGATACACAAATTATAGGTATCCCCAAGGGAGAAGAAGAAGAACCAAAAAGCATGGAAAAT